TATCTATCTATCTATCTATCTATCTATCTATCTATCTATCTATCTATCTATCTATCTATCTATCTATCTATCAAACGTTTTGGTTCTGGGGACCCCTTATAAGGGTGAAAACATTTCAGGGACCCCCTCATGATTAAGAATAATTTACTGACATTTCTAAAGGCCATGGGAATAATTATTTTTGTTTGGTTTACTTGTACATTGTTCCACATATGCATTTATGCACTTTTTAAAAATAAAAACCAAAATCAACAAGTTGTTGTAACTATTTGAGGACCCCCAAGGCACAGCTTGCAGATCCCTGGGGGTCCTGGGACCCCAGTTAGAGAAACTCTGATCAGAGTTGTAAAGTAACTAAGTACAAATACTTCTTTACAGTACTTAAGTATAATTTTTGGGTATCTGTACTTTACTTGAGTAATTATTTTTCAGCCTACTTTTTACTTCTACTTCTTCCATTTTTACACAGGTGTACTTTCTACTTATTACATTTTTTTAAATGTTAAGAAGTAGAAAGTCGTTACTTTTATTTCATTACAACTTGTTACAAAATATTATACTCCTGGATAGAGTGAATTTAATTGTGGTTGGATGAGAAATATAAATATATATCATTCTGATCCTGTATTAGTTTGTACACAATCCATCACAGCTGCAAATAACACAAATTACACTCCAGCAGAACATAGCAGATATACTGTATGTAACAGGTGTATTGCAACAGGTGTGGTGCATCCTAATTTTTTTAACATTAACATTTTTACATGACAATATAGCCATTTTGGGCTTTAGAAAAATGTTTTTTGTGGGTATCAACTCCCAATAAATGTCATTTTGGGAAGTCTAGCCACTCATTTTTACTCAATACTTTTACTTTTAATACTTAAGTACATTATATGTCAGAAATTTACTTTTGGTACTTAAGCACCAAATATATTAGATACTTTAATACTTTTCCTCAAGTAATATTCATAGAGGAGACTTTAACTTTTACCAAAGTAAATTTATGGTAAGATACTTGTACTTTTACTCAAGTATCACTTTGTGGTACTTTATACAACACTGCCTCTGATCTATCTATGTATCTATCTACCCTTCATATCATTTCCACACATGTGTGGACCTCAACAGATTCCAGGCCTTCACCCGATTGCAGATCTCTAGAATCTACTGCAGAATATGTTTATGAGCAGTTTGACTCATCCATAATCAATACAAAGTCTTGGCAAAAGAATGAATTCAATGATGAAATGAAAGGTTTCGATATAGAATAAGCTGTGTGTCATAATGAATGGTGGTTCAACAAGACACTTAAAGACATGGCTTTTTCAGCCCGTAGGTGAATATTGGAAATTAAATGTACAGCTGATGAAATAATCCTGCTGAGTTTTTAGTTCTTCAGGCACAGCAGTACCTAAATAGATTTTAATTTGACGGCTCAGTGATGAACATGATTTCCCCTGTAGGTGGCCAAAAAAAAATAGGATAGACCAGTCGAATGAAGAGCAGGCGCAGCGTTAACAAGTGTCTGCCACTTAGTATGTGCAGGGCATACCTTCTGTATCTGCAAAGCAATTTTCAGGTATTATGATATTCCTTCCCCTCTTACCCCCTCTTTATGCTGAAGGGAAACAGACCATGGTGCAGTAGAGGGTATAAATAGGACATGGTTTTATTTCCCTCTCATAAACATGTAGATTGATTAGCATCATTTTATGCTAGCCTGCTTCCATCCACCCAAGCCTTTCCCTCCATTAGTGATGAAAACCTAGATTTATTGCCATGTCTGTCACTTTTGCACTATAATTCACAAGCCCACCGTTCAGCTGTTTTTATGTAGATGAACACTGGGGCTGGTGGGCAGGGTGGTAGGAGATATATTAAAGACCTGTGTTTATGTGTCCACAGGAGCGCATACAGGTCGCCAATGGTATTTTGTCAATCATTCGCCTGACCCTTTCCGACACGGGAATGTATCAGTGTGTTGCTGGGAATAAGCATGGTGAGGTCTACTCCAATGCAGAGCTGCGAGTGATAGGTAAGACACCAGCGTACTGTGTGCATGAGTTTACCATAAATGTGTACCTATAAAGGCATRGGCAATTATAGATCCGTTTTCAAGTTTACTTTTTCGTCTTCTCAGCGCTCTTTTCTGTTGGATAACTTCTGGCCTCTGTCTTATTGGCCAATAATGAAACAAAGGAAAAGCTTCAGTTATAAGATGAATGTGTCCCGCTGACAATGATGTATGCCAGAGCTGTTTCAGGAGCCTTGTCAAGACTGTCACTCTCTCCTCTGAGCTGGCAGCAGCCCTCATTCACAATTCAAACTCTCAACAATTCACATCCAGATCATGTTGCTGATTGGAATCAAGCCTCCTACAGCCAAGTGCTCTGGTCAGACATGCAGTGCAGATTAAAGAAACAAAGTTCAAGGTGATATCAGACAGACAGGCAGCTTCTGAAAAGGCCACATACTTTTATAGCCAAGATCAATTTTAACGAGAGGAGGATCACACATGAAAAAATAGCACCCAGCCTAACAGAAAAATGAGAAATCCACACAAACTCCTCAATTCCACAACAGACGTCTTATTTCTAATTGAACAAGCTAGTATCTTTGTATAATTCATGGCAAAAATGTGATATCTTCATGAACTGATTTTCCAAAATGTGTAAAAAAAAAAACAAATTGATATGACAAAAATATTTTATTTTATTGTTTGATTTTCTTCCTATTTCTCAGCTGTTGCCCCAGATTTTTCTCACAATCAGCTACGGAGCCAAACGCTGGTGAGGGTAGGAGGAGACGTTCTCATCGAGTGCAAACCCAAAATGTCACCTTGGGGTGTGATCTTATGGCGAAGGGGCAGCGAGCCCCTCCATGAGAGCAACAGGTAACATGCATTTCACACAACTGCTGGACGTTTCTCTGTACATTTTTTTGACAAGATTATATTTCACAAGACCACATTTATGTTTATTTCAGACACATCAAAGGTTAGCAAGACTTTCCACTCTGTCATACCGTATTCATCACATGTAAATACATGGGTTTTGTTCTATAAGTAACTTAAAATGGGATTTATTTAACACCAGTAGTTGTTATTTTAGAGCACAGTACAAACACATAGATTACATAAATATATTTTTGGAGTAGAATTAAATCAAAGTGATTGAGAGAATTACTTTATTTGAAGTCCAACCAAAAATCACACTCCACTGAAAACCTGGCAATGCAAACCAGTCCATACCTGTGCAGACACTGGTGACCTTCTCCTCCCACAGCACCTCTGCAGGACACCATGTAGAATAGTTGGCCAAACTCAAATAGTTAATGAATAATAGTTAAAGTGCCTTTTTTTGTTAAAAAGGCTTGTTAGAAGTTTTTTTTTTTTTATAAAGGATGCTTGATATTTTCTCAGTAACATTCAGCTAACTCTGCCACAAATTAACGATAACGGGACAAGTTGCTTTCCAACACCCATGGTGCATTTCCAGGCAGGGTTACTATGTTCAGTACAACAACTGCCCAGATAACACAAAATAATCCTATGTGTGTGTGTGCCATCATCAGTTCTGTAAGAGGTGAGACTGAGTTTCCATTTTATCAGCTTTTCTTTGGAAAAGTTGATCAAATGGAAACGAAACCATACATTAGCCACATTTTTACCACAAGAAAGCTGCTAAAACATAAAGCAACACATATCTCTTGCTGAGATGTAGAAATGGTGTCTGTGTATCTGCAACTTCTTTTTTAACAAATAAGCTGTTTTCAAGCTCAATACTTGTAATAATTAGACTGTATTCACTGTAAGTCTTCATTCCAAACACATTAGCATCAGGATATAGGCCTGCAGCTTTCTTTGTGATGGATACTATAACTTAAAACAACACTAGCTTCACACAAACAACATTAAACATTTTATTATTTAGTAATGGCATCATCATCACCTGTTGCACTAGAGTGAACAGAAAAAAAAAAGCAGAAACCAATTTGCATTTGTTGCGTCTGTTTATATAGAGTGTGGTATGTAGTTTGAAAATCGATGTGACAACATACAAYACCTGGACAAAAAAGTCACACCTGGATTTAACTAAGCAAACAGGTACGAGCCTCCTGTTGGATAATTACTGAATGGACGATTATCTTTCAGCTGGCAACAAGTTATTTAACCCAACTGGTGCAATGAGTTGCTTCTCATTTCTTAAACAACCATGTGGAAAGAYRCATCCTGTGGTCGTGGAAAAGATGTCATTCTGTTTGAGAAGGGTCAGATCATTGGCWTCAAGTAGAGAAAACATCTAAGGGGATTGTAGAGACTACTAAAACTGAGTTAAGAACTGTCCAACACATTATCAAAAACTGGAAAGATAGTGAGGACAAATTGTCTTTGAGGATRTTCCCATCAGGCAGTGCTATGATGTGGGGCTGCTGCAGYTGGTCAGCTCTAGGAAGGTTATGTGTGCCATAATCAAAGCTAAAGGTGGTCCAAYGAAATATTAGAGTGTGACCTTTTTTTGTTTTGTGTCAGGCAGTGTATTACCTTTGAAAATACTGACTTAAGTTTTTGTTACCATCCATCCAGTACATTATAAATGACTTGATAAAAAGTAAGAATCTGATGTTGTACACTGTCAACATAAGCAGGAAAATGGCAGTTTTCTAAGCTTTAAAACATACATTTACATAAAGTGATGATTTCAAATTTAAGATTGTCTCAAGATGTAACTGAAGTGCTTATTAATAAATGTAGGATTTAGTTTATTTTAGGTTGCTTCTAAAGTATATACTAACAAGCTCAAATGTTGTTTATATCAAACGTAGTGTTAAAGTTTATTGTGGTAGAGCCTTCTGGTGTATTTTCCCAAACTTTAGTTTAAGTGAAAACTCAATTTTTTTCCTAAACAGAAACTAAAAGTCTAGTTGTGCTTTTCAATAAGATATCTTGTAAAATCAAAGAATCTGAATTGCATCTACAAAATACAACTAAATTGTGACTTTTTTTGAGCCACTAGATGTTTTATCTTCCAATATCATTTTTAACTACCTAAATAACTTTTGCAGAACTAATGAAACAGTTTTAAGCACAAAACTGAGAATTCTTTACGTAAAGAACTTTACTCCATCTTTATGAAGAGATTCTTATAAACATAATCATCAGATGTTGCAACAATCATGTGACAGGGAAGAAAACTGTGAAAGACCAAGCTGAGCGGTGTTTAACGGGGTCTTCTGTGTTTTATCGCCAGCTCTTGTGTGTGTGTGTGTGTGTGTGTGTGTGTGTGTGTGTGTGTGTGTGTGTGTGTGTGTGT